CCCCGTGTTCCCGTCTCCCCGTGTTCCCGTCCCCGTCTCCCCGTCTCCGTGCGGTGTTGCTCCACTGGGTCCCCCTGGCCCTTGCCGCGTCTCTTGTGCCCTAGGTCTGTCCCTGTGCCGTGGCCGTGCTCCCGTGTCTCCACGCCGTGGCCTTGTCACCTTGCTGTGGCCATGACCCCGTGTGTGTCGTCCCCCCTCGGCCGTGGCTGTACCACCTTGACATGTACCACGGCCATGTCCCCATGTCATCTTGCCACAGCTGTGATCCCAGACTGTGGCCATGTCCCCGTGTTACCCTGCCACGGCCACGATCCGATACCATAGCCTTGTCACCCAGCCACAGCCATCATCCCATGCTGCAGCCATACACCCCCCATCATGATGCCATGTGTCCCCGTGTCACCTCGCTGTCCCCACGATGCGGTGGCCTGTTGCCATGCCAGTTGTCTGAGGTGCCCCTGGGTGGGCATGTCCCCCTGTCCCATCCTGTCCCGTCTGTCCCCACCTGCATTCATTGTGCAAGAGTGGGTGTGAGCGCTTGCCCCTGCACTTGAACATGGAGTGTAGACGAGGAGCAGCACCTGGTAATTAGCTGCAGCGATTGCGGGGACATTCTGGCCCGTTGCTGCCGGTGTGCAGCAGGACAGCTTGGAGCAGAATCTCAGGGGGTTCAAGGGGCTCCCCGTGGCCCCTGCACCCTCCTGGGAAGGTGCCTATGCCCAGGGCATGATGCCACCCTGTCCTGGCACCCTCTTTGTGACCCTTTCTCAGCATCTTGCTGTGGTTCCTGGGGCAAGCAATGGACTAAATCCAGTTCTGTGGGAGTGATGATGACCCCAGGCCCCAAGCAGGGCTTGGACGCCTGTCAGGAACCTCTGCCCTGCATCCCCCAGTGCCCAGACTGGTTTCCCCATCACCATCAGCTGCAGCTTTTGGCTTTCCCTTCCTTCTGGGATGCGTCCCCAGCCTTTTGGGACAGGACGCTGTCAGAGGTGGTCACATTTCCCACCCTGTGCTGGTGGCACTGGGGGACATCACTCTGGCTTCTCCCACAGTGCTGTGGGCTCCCCCACACCGCTTTCCTCCCTGTCTCTGGAGAGCTACAGCAGTTCCAGGCTTGGGGCCACCTCTGTGACCGTGTGTCACCAGCCTGGGGAGTGGCCACAGAGTATCAGTGGCTCCTTATTGCTGGTTTGGTTTGCAGTTCCTGGTCCTGGCAAGTGCCCTGCCCTTCCTGCCTGCACGAGGCCTGTGGGAGGCTGCGGGGAACCAAATCACGGTCTCTTGTGATGCTGGGTCACACTGGGGTGCTCTGACACCTCAGCTCCATCCCCAAGAGCCAGACAAGACCCTGATGTGGAGAACCGGTTCCTGGTCTTTATGGGGGGGTGGGGTTGGGAATCTGAACCCCACTCCCCCATACCCCAAAGCCATTGGGATGGAGGGGGATGTGCTGAAGGGGTGTGTGCCTTGCAGGAGCTGGCTGGCCTGGTGCCCCCGCCTGGGTACCGTCCTCCTGGACCTGTTCCTCATCTACGTCTCCGTGCCCTTCCTCATCCGCTTCTTCCCCGTCCTCCTCACCAAATTCGTCTTCCTCAACTTCCGTGAGTGTCTCAACCAGAAGAGCCCCCCTACCACGAGGGATTCAGCAAGCAGGGGGTCCCCAAAACATGGGTGGGGACAGGGACAACACCCATCCAGTCCCCCACTTGCAGAGGAGGCGCAGAGGGACCTTTCCCGTTGGCTCCTGGTGTTTTGCAAGCTGTAATAACGTGGTGCTGCCGATCCTGTTTGCTGCCCAAAGTTGCAACACATCTGGGCACGCAGAGCATGGATGAGGCTCGAAATGGGGGTGTGAGGTGGTGGCAGAGGGCTGTGCTCGCAATTCTGGGTAAATTACTGAGAAATAGAAATAAATCACATGTTGAAAAGGTTCAAAAGCAGCTGGGTATGGGATGAGTTGCCCGTGTGATGGTTGTGATTTCTCCATCAGTCTCCTATCCCTTCTTCGTCGACCTCCGGCGGCCGGAGCTGCTGCTGAACAACACCGTCAGCCTGTACCTCACCACCGAGCCGGGCGTCACCGTCGGCATCTGGTGAGGGGGATAACCCTGGGTGGGTGCAGTGACGCCAGGTCCTGGCTCAACCGGGTGTATCCTCCCCCGGTAACCCTGCTCTGCCCCCCCAGGCACACGCTGCCGGGCAGCAGAGGGGCCGAGGCGCAGGGCAAGGACCAGCACTGGTATGAGGAAGCGCTCGGTGATGCTCACCCCATCATCATCTACCTGCACGGCAACGGGGGCACCAGGTGAGTACCTGCATCTCCGCATGGAGTGAGAACTAGCGAATTCGGTGCAGCAGCCAGCGGGGCTCTGAGGCCGGAGCTGCTGCGGTGGTTTCTGACCTCATGAGTTGAGGAAAAGTCATAGAAATCACAGAAATACAGAATTACTAAGGTTGGAAAAGCCCGCTAAGATCATCAAGTCCAACCGTCAACCCAACCCCACCATGGCCACTAAACCATGTCCCCAAGAGCCACATACACACATTTTTCGAACCCCTCCAGGGATGGCGACTCCACCACTGCCCTGGGCAGCCCCTTCCAGTGTTTGACCGCTCTTTCAGTAAAGAAATTTTCCCCCATATCCTATCTAACCCTCCCCTGGAGCAGCTTGAGGCCATTTCCTCTCATCCCATTGCTTGTTAATTTGGAGAAGAGACCTGCACCCATGTCACTGCCCATTCCTTTCAGGTCATTGTAGAGAGACAAGTCCCAAACACCAAAACCCACCCACCCCAGAGCATCCATCTCTTCCCCCACCCTGGGAAAAGGTCACCCTGGTCCCTCACAGGGGGACATGTGATGGGTTGGAGACCCCTCCCCAAGCTCTAACCTCACTTTCCCCATCAGGGCTGCGAGTCACCGCATCCAGTTCCTGAAGGTGAGTGGACTTGGGACCTGCTGGGGGTAAGGCTGGCACTGGAGACCCCAAAGGGACCTGGGCAGAGCAAGCCTGGCCCCACTGGGGAACCTGGGGGACATAACCCTTTCCTCTGACAGTTGATGGGGGCTGCTGACTTCCACATCCTGGCTCTCGACTACAGAGGTAAAGTCACCCCCCTGCCTCACACTGAGTGACTCCCCTGGGGCTGGTGTCCTCTCCACCCGGGGTTGTCACACCCAGCCATGTCCTCCGCAGGCTATGGGGACTCCAGCGGCCACCCCACAGAGAGCGGCTTCACCACGGACGTCCTGGCGCTCTACGACTGGGCCAAAGCACGTAGCGGGAACAGCAGTGTCCTCCTCTGGGGACACTCCTTGGGGACAGGGTAGGTGCGGGGCCAGGTGACATTTGGGGAAGGAGATGTCCCATGGGTACTGGCTGTGGTGCTGCTGCCACCTCGGTGTCACCTGAGGATGGACCACAGGCTCAGAGCAGCTCCTCCAAAGCAAAGCCTCATGTGCAAGTGGCGCTGAGGGTGCTGTGTGTCCCATTGGGGTGGCATGGCTGTCCCCCCCCCCCACCTCTGTGTCCTTTCTTGCAGGATTGCCACCAATGTGGCGAGGAAACTGCAGGAAGAGCGAGGTAAGGGTTGGCCCAACAATGTCCCCCTGAGGCTCTGCACCCCCCCCAGCCAGACTTTGGGGCCACAGAGGAGCAGGGGAGCTCCTTTTATGCTCCAGCATCAGGCTTGGCCCCTCTAGTGGGGACACGTGGCCGTCCCCATCCTCCTTAGCAGGACAGGGGCATTTTGGCAGCAGCCTGGGGTGCATGGACCCCCACCCCAGCCATGCCTGCTTTTGCCCTCAGGGGTGCAGGTCGACGCTGTCGTCCTGGAGTCGCCCTACACCAACATCCGTGAGGCGGCTGCCCATGTCCCCGTCACCAAGGTGAGCCCATGGGGTCCCCCAGCAGTGACAGCCCCAGCCGACCTGGTGCTCCCCACCCTGGCAGGGTAAGGGCGCAGCAATCAAAGCCATGACTTAGCACCCTCAAAAATCTCCCCCTGGCAGATCTACCGCCTGTTCCCAGGTTTCCAGTACCTGATCCTGGACTCGCTGGCCCTGGGGGACATGCACTTCCGCAGTGACGAGAAGTGAGTGCCAGGAGGGATGGGACACAGCCGTCCCCATGGGGATGCTGCTGGGACCGCCCACACGGGATGCATCACACCGTGCAATCCTTGCACCCTTCTTTGTGTTTGCCCAGCTTACACATGCTTTAAAAGCATTTTTTAAAATTTGCATACCTTCAGATACCAGTATTATGGAGCAAAGTCCACAAGCCACCATCCTTTTTAGGTGCATTGCAGCACACACACAGGTCCTTCCTGCTCCTTCGTTTCAAAACACCCCATTCATGAGTGGTTTTGAAGCTTGAGCACCCTGTGTCAGGGATTTAAGGTTATTGGAGTGCTGCTGTGCTGAGGCAAACACATGGATGTGACCCTGGGCTGGGCTGGCTCTGAATGTTTGGGGGATTGGGGGTGAGTCAGGGTCACTGTGGGGGTTTCAGCAGCACCCAGGGATGCTGCCGTGGGTCTGGGGACTCCAAGGGTGATTGTGGATGCTGTGCTCGCTGCCTGCAGTGTGAAGGTGCTGGCCTGCCCACTCCTCATCCTGCACGCAGAAGATGATGCTGTGCTGCCTCCACACCTGGGCCGTGAGGTGAGGACCACCATTGCCTCCCTATGGGCTTCAGCAGGGGGGCTTAACCCGTTTTTGAGGGCCTGAGGGGCTGGGAGAGGGGGTTTGGGGCTTCTGCTTACCACGCTTCCACCCCATGGCAGCTCTTCGAGATGGCATACAATGCCTACCAGGACAAAAGCAAGGTGAAGTTCATTACCTTTCCTGAAAAGCTGGGCCTGGGCCACGACTACATCTCCTTCAACCCAGAGCTGCCTGCCCTGGTGAAGTAAGTGATGGGGGAAGCCTTGGCCTCTTCTTCCATGGAGCATCCTCAGCCCCGGTGTCATGGGGAGGTGGCCCTGGGGACAGCCTCTTTGCCCCTTCAGAGATGCTGAGCCCCACATCCAGGGCTCCAAAATCAGGATCTAAACCAGCACAGGAGTCAGTGATACAGCGTGAGATTTATTGCATCTCATTGCAGAGACTTCTTGAACATGAAGTGATGGCAGCTGCTGCGTGCGGCGACCCACGAACCCCCCATGGCACTGAACTTGCTGCTATATGTAATAAAAAACTGAGAAACTTCCTAATTCGGCCCTCTGGACGCTGCAGGTTATTTGGGGGACAGAGACAGCGCCACGATCCAGGGGGGCTGCTCCTGGGATGCGAATGTGCACTGGGAGCATCGTTTGGGACAGGGATGGGGGGCACACAGGCCCCAGCGCCCTCCTCCTGTGTTAGCTTTGATGCGAGCAAGCCCAGTCCCTAATTTTAGGCTGCAGCCACTGGCCCCTTGGCCACCACGGGCACTTCTATTTTTCAGGACCTATGCAAGCAGCAGGGCGATGTAGTTTCGCTTTCTGCGCGACGTTTAGGTTATCAAAATCCCTCCCCTTCCCTGTCAGCAGCATCAACACAAAGACTACACAGCAGAGACGACTTGACAGCGCTCGCAGCTCAGTGCCCCCCTACGCCGCCCCGTTGGGCGTCTTCTCCTCTCCTGCGTCGCGGGGCTCGTTGGGCGGGGGGATCTTCAGGTCAGAGGGCTCCACGTGCCAGATGTCCCGGGCGTACTCCTTGATGGTGCGGTCGCTGGAGAACTTGCCGGCTGCCGCAATGTTCCTGATGACCATCTTGGTCCACGCCTTGGAGTTCTGCAAGGAGAGCGGTGGGACATTGCACCCATGGGTGCCATACTGACCTCCAGCTTTCAAACAGGATCCCGTCTACATGCACAGCCCCTGAGAGCCCTTTACTGGGATGCGATGCGGTGTCCCATGCCTCATCCCCGGGATGGCACTCACCATGTAGAGCTCGCTGACCTTCTCCTGGCACTTGATGTAAGCCTCATAGTCTGCAAACACTTTAAACCTGTAGTAGTGAAGAAATGGGGGGAGTCAGCGATGACAGAAATACAGAGGTAGGAGCACAGTGGTGGCCGGTGGCTACAGCGTGCAGGGCTCAGGCTACCAGATCTGGGGCTTCCTCTAACACAAAGGCTTCAGACAAATCCACCCTCCCTGAGCCAAAATATCTCTTCTGACAAGGGCTGCACACCCAAACGGGTCTTGGCCATGTACTCAGGGTTTAATGGGGCAAGCGTGAAGTCCCAGACATGGCACCAGGAGTTTGGTGGAGACACTCAGCCCAGGGGGTGGATGGCACCCAGGCCTCACCGGTCGTGGTGGAAGAGCATGTTGACCACGTCATTGAAGAGGTCGGGCTCCTGCGGGGAGAAGAAGCCGCTCGCGATCTGGTCGATGGCTTGCTTCAGCTCAGGCAGCCGGTCGTAGTACTCCTGCGCATTGTACCTGGCGGCGAAGGGTTGGTATGAGGTGGTGCTGCCCCGACTGCCCATGGTGGCCCCACCACGGCCTCCCCAGCCCTCACCCTTCCCTGTCCAGCTCCGTGACGTCCTCCACCCTCATGCCGAAGATGAAGAGGTTTTCCTCTCCAGCCTCTTCAGCCATCTCCACGTTGGCCCCGTCCATGGTGCCGATGGTCAGAGCTCCGTTTAGCATGAACTTCATGTTCCCCGTTCCTGATGCCTCGGTGCCGGCCGTGGAGATCTGCTCCGACAGGTCGGTGGCAGGGATCACTGCCAACAAAGCACACTGACGTGAGGGGCTCGTGGTGACCAGCTTTGGGTTTGTAGCATGCCGAAGGACATTAAATCTACTGTCTCGCAGCGATGGAGCCATGGGCTGGTGGGCAGCCGTGGGGCAGACATCCCCTCCCCACAGTGTGTCCCACTGGTACCTTTCTCTGCGAGTGAGACCCTGTAGTTCTCCAGGAAGATGACCTTCAGCTTGCTCCCCACAACGGGGTCGTTGTTCACCACCTGAGCCACTGCGTTGATGAGCTTAATGATCATTTTGGCCATGTGGTATCCCGGGGCAGCCTAGGGGAGAAGCCATGGGTGACCCTGGGGTGACAAGAAGCACCCAGCTCCCATGTGCCCAGGGAGGCACCTGCTCCCATCACATCATCCAACCCACGTGGTGCTGCACACCAAGTTTTTGAGGGTTGCACAACCACAGGCCAAAGCCATGGTGCCTTGCTTGTGTTGAAGCCAACAAGTTCTTGAAGAACTTCATGGACACGGCCCCATGAGACATCTGCACCCAAATTCCCTAGGGCATTTTCAAGGGTGTCCTCCAAAATGCCCCAAACTCCTGACCCAGCTTACCTTGCCCCCAATGATCACCGTCCTCGGCACAAACACCTTGTCAGGGTCCCTCCTGATGCCTGGAGAAGACAGGGGCACGGTGTCACCCTCTGTTTGGCCCAGCCCTGGGGGACAGGGACGCTGTGCACCCCCAGGGCAGCCCGTCCCCCTCGGAGCGCATGGTGGCTTACGGTTGTACATGGCGATGATGTGCAGGCAGTTCATCAGCTGCCGCTTGTACTCGTGGATCCTCTTCACGTGCACGTCGAACATGGAGGAAGGGTTGATCTTCACCTTGTACTCCTTCTCCAGGTACAGCGCGAACTTCACCTTGTTCTCCTGGGGTAAGGGCAGGGAGGGGGTCACCTCCCAGTTTGTGGTCCCCACTGCCCGTGTCCCCTCTTCCTGCCCACATCTCTCACCTGCTTCACTTTTGCCACCTCCCGGATGAAGAGGTCATCGTCCACGAACTCATGCAGCTTTATCAGCTGGCTCAGGTCCCGCACGTAGTCCTCCCCGATTTTCTGCAACCAGAGCAAGGCATGGGGACACCGAGCATGGGATGGGGATGGCCACCACCTTCATTGGGGACATTGCTCCCGCCTGGCTAAGCTGAGAAAAGCAGAGGAAAGGCTTGGAAAGCAGGACTGGAGGCCTTGGGTGAGGTGCAGAGCTTGACCTCATGCTCAGGGACATGGTCTGGTGGTGCACTTAGGGGTGGTTCAGTGGTTGGACTCGAGGATCTTAAAGGTCTTTTCCAACTGAAACCATCCTATGACCATTCAGAAGATGTGAGTGGCTGAGGTTGGAGCAGCGTCTCCGGGGTCAGTTGTGTTGGGGAGGTTTGGGGGCTCCTCCTGTGCTGTTACCTCTGCGATGAGCTCCGCCAGCCCCGGGTTGCAGAGCAGGAGCCAGCGCCGGGGGGTGATGCCGTTGGTCTTGTTCTGAAACTTCTCCGGCTCCAGCGCTGCAAAGTCCTTGAAGCTGCGAGGACAAGGAGGGGACAGCTTCAGCCCCACCCACCCACCACCACTTCCAAGCCAAGGGAGATCCACCACGGCCTCCCTCCTCACACTCACACTTGAGTCTTGACTATTTCGGAGTGGATCTTGGCCACGCCGTTGACAGCGTGGGAGCCGACGATGCAGAGATGGGCCATGTTGATCCTCTTGGTGCCCCCCTCCTCTATCAGGGACATCCTCCGCAGCCGGTCCACGTCGTTGGGGAAGAGGGATGCGATGTGCTGCCGGGAGAGGGCGAGGAGCGGCGCTGGCATTTAGGGATATCCCACCCGATGGCTGCAGCAATGTCCCCAGTCCCTCTGACACCAGAGTGGTGGTTTTGCTCCAGTCACAGTGCAAACCCATCCAAAGGGTTGGGTGTCTCTGGACAGAAGGACCCCCCTAAACCACACAATGAGTCCCAATCCCCATCCCAAGGTACTCACATCCAGGTGCCGCTGGTTGATCTCATAGATGATCTGCAGGTGCCTGGGGAGCAGCTTCTCCACCAGCTCCACAGGCCAGCGCTCCAGGGCTTCAGGGAGCACAGTGTGGTTGGTGTAGGCAAAGGTTCGCTTGGTGATGTCCCAGGCCTGCCATGGGGGAGAGCAGGAGTTACCGGTGAGGGTGGGCACAGCCCCGGGTGGGTGCCAGCACCCACATGTGGTCCTCACACTATGGCCGAGCAGCGTCCTCCTGGTTAAACCCAACCTGACAGCTCCACACCACTCCCAGTTCCCACACTGGTTCCTCAGCTCCTCTACCATGGGTGGATGGGAGGGTGGGTGTAAGCAGAGGGAACCCATGGGCCGGGCCGGGTCTCCCCTACCTTGTTCCATGGCAGCTTCTCAATGTCCACAAAAATCCTCATCAGCTCAGGGATGGCCATGGCGGGGTGTGTGTCATTCAGCTGGATGGCAACCTGTGAGGGGTGGCATGTGAGGACCCCACTGCCCAGGCACCCGTGGAGGGTCCACAAAACCCCTCCAGCCCTGGGAGGCATCGAAATGAGCTTGGAGGTGCACATCCAAACAACCCCGGCTCATACCTGGTCAGGGAAGGAATCGAACACAGTTCGGACGCTGTCTGTGCTCCCGAATTTGGAGGCTTTGAAGCGGCGTATGATGTCCTGGAGGGTGGCAGCCACCACGAAGTACTCCTGCTTCAGCCGCAGCTCCTTCCCCTCAAAGAACTAGGAGCAGAGGAGCTGGACGGGGGTCCACACCGGCACTCATCCACCCCATGGCACGGTGTGAACCCCCCATGCTGCCCTCAGCAGCAGCTCAAACCCCAGCCTCTTCTCCCCACTGTTCCCCCCAGTGCCCTGGCTTGAAAATTTTGGACACACACCAAAAAAAGGGCTACTGGGGGCAATGGGAAGCAAACCATAGAGGCTGTATTGGCTGTTTCTAAGACAAAAATGGAACCCAGCATTCACACACCACAAAAGCAAGAGGGGCTGCTCCGCTTCGCACCCTGGCTGTCCCTAAAACGGGAACACCCCCCAAAGACGTGACTCACATTGTCGTTGGGGTAGAGGACGCGGGATATGTTCTCTGCCAGGTTCCTGTCCAGCACAGCCTGGATGTAATCTCCGATGTTGACTGGGGGGGAACAGAGGGATAAGGTGGGTGTGGGACCGCCCTGAGTCCCATCCTGCCCCCCGGCACCCACTTACAGTCGCGCAGGTTGAAGTCGTTGGGTGCTCGCGCTGACCACAGGCGCATGGTGTTGACGGTGTTGTTCATGTACCCGGGCACGGGGGTGTCGTAGGGCAGTGCCAGCACCACCTAGGACATGGGCAGGGTGGCCAGAGCCAGGATGGTGTCTCCAATGTCCCCTCTTGTCCCCCTGAGCCCTCTCACCCCACAGACCCTCCCATGGGAGTGAAATCTGGATGGCACCTACCTTCATGTGTGGGGCCGTGCATGGTACCCCCTGCCCCAGGGACACCCCCACTCAGGGCAGGAGCACTCAGGGGATGGAGAAAGGGTTGTGAGCTTAAATTTAAGCTGCTGTGCACTGCACACAGCCCTGCTGGAGATGCTTTTGGCTACGCCAGAGGGTGGCTGCAAAACCCGTCCCCATCCCTACGTCCAATCCATCCTCATCCCTAGTCCATCTCCTCCCCAGTTTGCTCCAGCGCTGCCTTCTCCACCCCAGGCGATGGCCGAGGCCATGCCAGGGGGTCCCCAGCCCATACCTGGGTGTCCACCCACTTGGTGCCGGCGGCAGTGTGCTCCACGCGGCCGTAGAAGTGGACGGGCAGCATGTACTCGGGACGGGCCTTCTCCCAGGGGTTGCCGTGCCGCAGCCAGTCGTCAGCTTCTTCCACCTGCCAGAGGGGACCAGAGCGGTGACGGGGCCACCCAGCCCTGGGGACCTCCAGGACGGCCAGGAAAGGCTCTGGAGGAAAGGAGGACAAGCCTCCCACGGATGTTATG